AAAATTGAAAACTGAAAACTCACTTAGAGTTGGTTTCAAGGCAAAACATTGATTCCAATAGCTTGCCAAGGCCTCAAGGAAAGTTTCTGGATCAAAACCACAGCTTCTAATGCAAAGAAACGGTAGAACGAAACCGTCCTGTTCTTAACTTTTCTCATATTCGTGTTTTGAATTATACGCATCATTCTTGACTTTTTCTTGTTGCTTTGCACTAACATAAACATTCTAAAACTTTTGGCATCATTTAATTGTATTTTTATGCCCTGTGCGAGAATCTGCCATTAACGTCTTCTAGGTTTTCAGAGGTAAAAAATTAGGGGTTCTTTTATGGAGAAAAATTGTCCAACAAGACTTATGCCATTGAAACCAGAAGCTCATGACGAATCAATTCCATACCTCGCGATCAATTTATGATAAACGGTGGCCTAATCGCTATTTTCTTATACTGTAGTTAGTGGGGGTTCAAAACCCCCGCTATTTGATATTTTTTTTCAGGAAAAAAGCAAGGAAGCGAGGAAGAAGATGGATGTGGCTTTACCTGAGTGGTCCATTTAAACGTTGGCGCGTTTTTGAGTGTTCCAGCATAGTGGACATTATTGTTTTATATATTATTTCTTTTCCACTATAATGACAAACACGCTAAGCAGCTCAGTTGGCAGGCATATGGATTGGTAAGCATTGGGACCTGGGTTCGATTCCCAGGTCCCCTCCCTTTCTCAATATATTTTGTTTTAATGTGATTCCATGCAGTTCCAACCCCAGGGCCTACCATGCGTCTTCATGTCTGTGTTTGCCACGCGCCCACTGATCTCAATCCAATGGCCATGATCTGAAGAACACCATATGCATTGGTCAAAGGAGCCACACGTATCCTAGAAAAGTCAACAAGGCCTCCAATAATTGGGCCTAATTGCTCACAACATGACCTCCAAATTGGGGTCAACACCCCCCATTGGTTTGCTTTTTCATTCTCTTTATTTTTTCTATTTTTATTTGATTTATTTAGTTTTAGTTTAATTCTGTAAATTAATTTTTTCTTTAACATAAAAAAATAATAAAAAAATCAAAAAGACAAAAAATATGAATATATTTTATTTAAATGTTTTTTTTGTAAATAAATTTTATTAATTAATTTAGTTTAATTCTAGATTTAATTTCAATGTTTTCTTTAATAAATTAAAAAATGTAGAATTAGGGTTTTTAAATACTTTTATTCTTTTTCTTTTCTTTTACCATATTTAATTATTAATTATTTTGTAAACAAATTTGCCATTAAATAATTAGGTTTAAACTAGGTCTAATTTAAACATTTTCTTAATAAATTAAAAACAATTTAGAATTAGGGTTAATTAACTTTTCTTTTTAATTCCAATTTAATTTTCTTACTAAAATCCATAAATACAAAAAAGCTCAAAAATAAAATCCTTTCTCTCATTTAACTTAATTAATTTATTATTTGTAATTTAATTTCTTTAAAAGGGTCCAACGCCCTCGCATTCCCGACTTTACTTCTTCTCGCATTTTATTTTTATTTCCTTTTTGTGAATATAATGTAATTGCCCCAAAGCCGTGTAATAGATTAATTAGACATTTATCTTTCCGCATTTTATTTTACTTCAAATCGGGTCTTGGATTAATTTGGCGATGTAGACCCGCGCCTTTGTAATAGCGTAGGACTTTTAAATTCCGCATCTTTTAACCGTTAATAATTTGCATGAAAGAATGAATGCCAAAATAAAAACAACGCGTAGATCACTAATGCATGACAAGACAAAAATATCTGAAAACGACACACAAATCACACACCACCCCTAGGGTACGTCTCACTGTTGCCTTGCCCCTCGAAAGGTGATCGTCGAGTAGAGGATGTTTTAGTAAGTCCTCATGTCCATGAACATGGCATGAGGGTAGCTTCTAAGGTGTCTTCCTATTGCTCTGGTGACCACACTGTCCCGAACCCTCGAATTGACCCGAACACCTCCAACGGTGGTGCTACCTACCTCTCAATGGTGGGATGGCACTACTTTAAGGACATCTACACATACGAATTCCTTAGGGTAGGTAGACAACTCGTAGATACTGGCTCCAATTTCAAAACAAATCAAAAAATACTTTTCACACCGACACCTTTTCAAAAAGCTTTCGAAAGCAACTTTTCAAACACTCTTGAGGACTGATACAAGAGTCGAACTGAAATTTTCAAAGAAACTTTTTCAAACCCACTCACCTTGAAAAGAAAACAAACAATTTTGAAAACACAAATGAGCAAGTATCTAAGAGCCCATGGATAACCATGGATAGAAAGGGTGCTAACACATTCCCTTTCTATAATCTACCTCCCGAACCGAGAGCAATCTCTATAAGGAATTTTTCAGTGCTTTTGTCCTTTCCATTTGGAGAAAATAAAAGACGGTGGCGACTCTTGCTTCCGCGACATTTCGCGAACCAGCGTTAAATAGTCAGTTCCAGATCCACCGATCACAATATGGTAGAGGGAAATCATATTTGGGGCTTGCCCTATTCATATCCCTATAATCTACACACATGCGAACCTTTCCATTTTTCTTTGGCACGGGGACCACGTTCGTAACCCATTGAGGATAAGATGTGAAATCCAGAAAACCTGCATGAAATTGCTTCATTACCTCAACCTTTATCTTTTCAGACATGTCTGGCCGCATACGACAAACATTTTACTTAACAGGAGGGAAATCCTCTTTTTATGGTAGACGATTGTAATACCCCAAATTTGTCCTACCCTCTTACTTTTATCTGGTTTCTGCATTGTCGCGCTTCTCTCATGTACATAACTCCATTAGGTCATTTGAAATTGCATACATACGCCAATAACAAAACATGGCATGGGATCAAAGATTTTGAGGTGTACGGTTTCTCTTTGGCTTCAGGAGTCCCACTTTCATTCAAGGCTGATTCATGTTATTTACTTAACAATCTTTGGTTTAAGGAGCTAGGTTTTTTGTGTGCACGATTCATCGAGAATTTCTTGCATCAGGATATTATAAGACATCCATCTTTAAGGTTCCTTCAAAAGCATCAAGTGTTTACTATCTTCTTAATGATTCGGATTCAAATAAGAATGCTTTGAATTAAAGTTTTGTACTTATCTTCATCTTTACAAGGGTTAGATTCCTGATGGGAGTCTATGATCTTGAGGATGCTTGGGTGATACTTTGGTTGCTTAGGATACAGGGTACAAGATATGGTTTGTGGATTCAAAACATCATCACTCTTTCAGATATCAATTACTTGTCATGCAAGCTAAGTCTGGCTCGAATTTGGAGAGTTAAAATTAGAAGTTCATTGAGAATGCAAGATAATTTGGATTTGAAGTCGATTCAAGTGGTTCAATTATGAAATTTGGTAAGCATTCAATCATAAGGATATTTTTGAAAGAAAGATGCAAAATTTAAGGGCTAAGACACAAAGGCATTCGCACAAAGTTCGACATTGTTCGATATTGTTCAAACTCTCCGTCCATAAAATTCATCACCCGACATTTCAAGCTTAAGTCAAATTACTCTTTGTTTATTCGCAAAAAGAAAAGAGAAGGCAAAGTTCATCATTGTCAAAAAACTCATGTTCATTACACATTTCATTTAAAAGAAAGACTAAAAGGTTCTTATTACAAATTACCGCATTCAAAGTCTATTACAAGTTGTACCCAAAATACATTCTAAAAGGCTATTACAAATAGTAATGCAGTGTTTAAAGAACATGTGAAAGTTGTCTTCATGCTTGCGATTAATTTTTCTCCAAGCTTACATGGTTCCAAGGGGTGCATCGCCACTATCATCAAAGCTTGAGTTGCATAATGAACTGAACCTGCTTCAAAAAACCTGCCCTGCACAGAATATAGCGAACATGAATCCATAGCTGGCATTAACAAGATTCTCGACAAAACTTCATAACAATTTCTAAGTAACAGTAGCAAATAACCATTCTGTAACTAACTTCCACACCATAATCCCTCTCACCCCTTTCAAACAGAATATATAACTTCCCAAACTGCAATAGCCCTGCAAACAAAATTCCAACATCCAGCCAACCAGCTTCCAAACAGAATAACAACCTCCTAACCATTTTCCATTCCCTAACCCTTCTCAAACTCTTAACAAATTCCTAACAAAATCTCAAGGAAAAATCCTCTAACTAACAGTCCAAACAGAAAACCAAAACAGAATTCACAAACATATTCCACAACCATTTCTAACTCCCTAACCTTTTAACAAACTCAATAACCAACTTCTAACAGACATAACAGAATTACTGAGTCCCTAATCATTCTCAACCGACTTTCTAACAAACTTTCAACAGTTATATAATAGAAATCTGAAAGAGGAGGATGAGAGGATTCATTTAGAAAAAAAAACTCAGTTACAAAGAACACAGAAAAACCTCATAGAAAAATACCGGGAAATGACCTTGACTTGGGGTTAATCTCCTCTCCATCTTGATCTTCAAATTGCCTCTCTCTAAAATCAATCTTCACCTTCACTCTGCATGGTTCAAACTTCAGCCATCACCAAATTCTCGAAACTTCACCTCTCTCCGATTCTCAACCGAATTCCCTGCACATCATACAAACTTCATTTTCTCAACTTGCGCCAACCTTCATCATTGTCATCATTTTCGCTCTTCACCTTTCAAAAACAACACGCGCAATCTACTTCTCTCTTATTCGCATCGTCATGATCTTCACAACCGCAGCATCTTTGTCTTCAAATCTTCATCAATGATTTGAAGCCCTTCTCTAATACAAACGCACACAATCACAAAACCAAAGAACAATGAAGGCAGTGAGGAAGGGATCAAGATGACGCAAACAAGAAAGAAGAAGATTAAGAGTGTGCGCGAGAGAATACCTGCCTTTAGGTTTTCAACACCTTTACCAGAAGTAAAACTGAAGCCTGCAACAGAAGCAGTCATGCGAAGACGCCGAGACAGAGATTAGTGAACGGTGATTGAACGGAGGAAGGCAATCAGAAATGGAGATTGTCACGGTGAAGGCACAAGCGAAGTGAGGCTGAGACATTGAGGCAACGCGGGGTTGAAAGAATCTGGATTCGGAGACAGGGGAAGATGCCGCGGCTAAGCGAACCAAGGCAAACTGAAGGCGCGAGGGTGATAATCAGAAGCCAGCATCGGGGGAAAACAAGGACGAAAATGGAGGCCGTAAATCCTTGAACAAGATTCAGAGCCGGCGGCGGAGGGAGTTGAGTGGATGGATGTCGTTTGGGAAAGAGAAGAAAGAGAGTAATTTTGTTCATCAGGAATTGAGATTTATTAACCCTAACCTAAACTTGTTTATCCCCTTTCCTATTATTCAGTTAAATTCATTTTCCTATTATATTGATAATAAGTCAAATGATGAAAATATTTGAATAGGTCATTGGATCTCCTTTTGGATGGGCATGATCGAAAATGCTGAGCCCATAGCAATTTTTTGAAATATTCTTGAAGCTTGCTACAAAAATGCTTAATGGACCTCATTCTGGCTGGGCCTAGCGCCATTACTTCTGCCAAACACCTTAAGCCCATTGTACTATTTTCTGGATAATTGAAGTTTGTGAATAAAAATTCTTCATTAGGTTGAGTGTAATTTTGGACTTAGTGGCATTCTGACTGTTGCTTGCAGCATGCACCCTAATCCAGGGTTTGCACCTCCTGTTGCATTCATATTCTATTTTCTTGTTAATTCATTTATTTCAATTTTTATTTTAGCAATTGTTTGTATGATTTATTCATGGTTTTGATTAATTTTCCACATGATAAAATGATGCAAAATAGTAGCATATTTTTAGAATTCTTTAGGACTTTTCTTTAGAATTTTATTAGGACTTTCTATTATTTCATGTTTAACAATAATTTTCGTCATCATTTTAGTCGAGATTTCGTGGTAGTAATGATGCAACTTTTGTGATGGGGAAGGCTTGGAGGTTAATTATTTGATCACTCGCGCGGAGCAGTTTTTGTAGAGTTCCCTTATCACTTGCGTGACTTCGAAGAGGCAACGGACCTCCTCCGTTTGATATCATCGCTATTCTATTTATTCCTTATTCTCGTACTTTATTGCTTTTTAGAAATCATGAGAAGTAGGGCTTTACTAAATCCAAGCATGCAAACATTAGGTAGAATTCCCTCAAAGTTCTAACTTTAGGTCTAACAATGCACAATAACATTAGGTGTAGAAATAGGCTAGTCCCCTTTAACTTTTCTTTCCCGTTTGCATTCGCACTAAAACTAAAACTCCCTTTTTTCAAAATTCAAAAAAACTAAAAAAACTACTGATGAGAATCATGCCTTTGCTTAGTATGGGAAATGATAAGCGGGTATCTTCTTGATCTTATTGTTCTTCATGTCAAGTCTAGGTGTGGTTCAATTCTCAAAGACTCCTTTCATAGCTAAGTAGAAAAGTGGCTAATATCTCTCTCTTGAGGTCGACTAGTCATTATCTGCAACAAAAATACAAACTAACTCAAACCATTTGTGCGCTCGAGCATCTTTCTTTAGAAACCTTTTTCAGGTAAGGACACGATTAATTTACTTCTGTTCCAACGCATAAGTCTCCAAAGGTCGAGCTGCGGCAAAAGCCGGAATTAACTTCGTCCACAAAAAACACAAACAAACAAAAACATATGAGCCGAACTATGGTAGCTCTGATTCCTCAAAACGAATACGTAGGCATTGGGGTAGGGCCCAAGCAAGCACACTATTATTTTCCCTACATTCTTTTCTCCTTTTCCTTTGCATACATCCTCCCTCCAGTAGTAAAGACAATAAGCATAGATTAAACACACCCATAAGATAGATAACAAGAGTGGATACCGTAGAGTACTACGGGCGTGTGGGGTGCTAATACCTTCCCCTCGCATAGCAGACTCCCTTACCCGATCTCTCGGTCCCAAGACCTTGACTTCTCCCTTCTCAGGTTTTCTCGATGTTTACCTTTCCCTACATGTGGGATAAAAGACGTTCGATGGCGACTTCATTGTTTGAATGATTTTCAGCCGGTTGTGTCAGCTGGCGACTTCATTGGGGAATAGGTCGACCAAATGCGGGTCCATCCCGGAGTCGCTCCTAGCTCTTGCTTTCTTTTATTTGGGTGTTTATCTTTATGCTTTCAGTTTATTCACTCATTTTGTATATACTTGAGCATATGTATGCATGGCATTTTACTGTCTTCCATATACTACTGTTGTACTCGATTTGCTTCTTGTTTGGGTGGGGATGCTACTATTGAGGTAAAAGGCCCAATACCCAGGCCAGAGTGCACTAGGACACCAGGAATAGAGTGGGGGCATGACGGCTATAGGACGTGGTCCGATTAGTGCAGTCATGTCATATACCACGCTCAGATGAGGTTCAAATGAATTACTATCACACTTTCAGGCGGACCCATGATTTTCGAGTTACCATTGTGTTATCCTGACCTAGTCTTCACCCGTGAGTGGGGAGGGAATCATTATTACAGGTACAACTGGTGACTATGTTCAGATGGTTACTCGTGCTCAGATGGAGACTATGATCAGACAGTGACTATTGGTTCTAATGGCTATGTTCTGGATTTCTGTTATGACTTTATGCAGATTCTATATCCTGTTAGTGACCGTATGGTTCTCAGATTTATTTTCTGAGTTTCGGACTTCTTTACCTGGAGATTTATTCGAGCCTTCAATCTTGGTATTCCCAGCATATTCAGAAAATTCTCAACATTATCCGATGTTCCAGAAGCATTAATCTCGTACAATGGGAGATCTACATGGTACTTGGTTCTTATATGTGCAGAAGTTATGTCGGACCTTTGATCTGATGATACTCATATGATTCATAACAGTGCAACAATCATATTCAGAAATGATGAAACCTTGATCCTCTTCGATCCCATTCCTTTGCATACATAACATGATTAACCATATGCTTAACATACATGTTCTGTTATTTCCAAGGAATCATATTTGCAAGTCTTGTGCTAAAACTCTTTCATCTCCTACTTGCGCAAAATCAAAATCAAAGCACGTGAATTCCTTAGAAATGACAGAACATGACATGGAATTCATTCACGCACCCCATGCATATTCATGCATTCATAACAGGTACCCGAAGATTGGGGATTCTTACTCAGACTTGGGGATTTCTTCAGAGGTTCAACTTGATTCTTACTGTCACATGCTCAGGGATCAGTTATGGAATAACTCCGAGTGGTGCATGCAAGCTTTGGCCCGTGGTCAGAAATTTCTTCGAACAGGAAGATAATTTATTAAAGACTCAGATAAGCCAGGTCATGGAAACTCTGATGATGATGTCTATTATTTATTTAAGACATGATATGCTTGGTGATGCCGTTTATACCGATTCATTGGGAAAGTCATTCATTTGTTCTCCTGAAAGGATCTTCCATGCATATTATTCTGGGGCATCTGGCCAATCGATTGAAGATGGTATGTCATCCAGAGACCACGTCCAAGACTGGATCAATTCAGAGACTACTGTGTTCACATCAGATCTGGAGGGGAATTCTCTCACACACTCGAGCATGAAGACTACAGAAAGTCGTCAGAATCAAGAAATCCATACGGAGTCAAGTCTCCTCAACAGTAGCAATCATTGGTTTCTTTACTGCATTTTCATTTGCATTCTTGCTTGTTTGTTTAAACAATGCTCGCATGTGGAAACTTGTCTATTTTTGAACGAAATCGTAATGCAATAAATATGCTTGTCTTGAAGTGTTCATTTCATTTTTACTCATCCATTCGTTATCACTCTTTAAATGTTTTACTTGCATATTGATTCCAAATTTCCTAGTCTTATGCTTAGGTAAAGATTCAAAGGAGGATGATGACAACCTAAAACGCAAAAATCTCTGGTTGGTACGCTTTTGAATAAGACCCTGCTGATGATGTACATGCCTTGTTTCAGTTCCTAAACACCAGAGATATAAGGGAGATAAACCCTCGTTAACCCCTCTGAGCCTTCGAAGTAGGAGTTTCCTTTCTCTTCAGAAAAAACCCTCATTTCAACCCTGGGGCGGGTAGTGTTCAGCTAATCTGATCAAGCATTCAGAACTCATCAAGAGTGTGCATCCAAGGATACAATAATGGTTGTCCATCAAAAGGAAAAGGAAAGTCAAAACCACAAAGGTTAACCTTCATCTATCAACAATGTGCATCAACTAATGATACCCCAATGAGTATCCCTCGCACGTCAAAAGGTCAACAAATGACGATACAATAATGGCTATCCATCATCTACTAAAGACTCAGGCAGTCACGAGCACTTCCGACAAATCAAAGACAACACAAAGATGAACGACTTGTTCAAAATGGAAAATACGAATAAGAAAGAAACAAAAATCCCCGCTAAGTCGAAGCTTGAAAACAAGTCGCTTAGGCAAAAATTGGGGCATCCCGCTGGACTTTCAAATCGAAATTCAAAAGAATTTGTCCAGAAAAAAATTAGGGAAAGCAAGAAAGAAATTGAATAAAGCCTAAAAGGATAGAAAAGGATTACCAATGAAAATCCTCATCAAATAAGAAAGTCTTCTGATCAGACACCAAAATCAGAAGTTAGTGACCGTCGTGTCCAAGAAACCACAGTGGTTCCTCAACCATTGCAAACTCTTCTAGAGAGATGAATACTTGTACCAGTTCAACTGAACATAGGAATGGAGAACATCATGGAGAATGGGTGGGCACCAAATAATTTTGAGCCTTAAATCCTTTTTCTAAAACCGTGAACCAGGCCACGTTACAACCCATAAAAGTCCTAACTGAAGCATGAGTCAATTTGAAAGCGTTCTACAACGAGATAGCGTTTAACTGACTCCTAAGACGTACGTTCGAATATCTGTGTTGGCATCATATGCTTGCATTATCTTTCATAAAAAGGGAATTTGCAAATGTCTCTCTAGCTAGTGACTCATTCACGACAGAGCTATGACATCATTTCATTCAAAGTTTTTCAAACTTCAAGACTTACATATGTGTTGCATTAAAATTATCATTCTCATAATAAGCATTCTTCTGCATACAAAACAACTGATCAACATCAAGTAAGTTTACACAATGAACAATCAGTAAAGAGCTCAATCTTGTCAGAGAAGAGAGGCTTGCATACCCTGTTGAAGCAAGAGTTAGCTGCCACAATAGAAATGACTTATCCAGGGGCATGTTAACATTTTGTCAAGAGACAGTATCTTGGTTCGGCACAGTCTGAGTACCCTTCAAGGATGAAGTTAGTAGAGCCTTCCAACCTGGGGCAATCAAGTCGA